ACATATAAAACTCTTGTCTCCTCTTCCGGTTAAGTTTCAGTCAGGGTGAACCTGAGCCCCTCCGTTGTTCTGCCGCAGTCTCTCCTGGCGTCAGATGGTTATTTGAAGAGGATTCTGGTTTCCCAGAGGCCAGAGGCTCAGCCCATCTCCCTGACCCCCCGGGAAGCAGAGGTCACGCATGAGAGAGGGGAATGAAAAGTGCCACTCCTCTGATTTATGACCCCATGTAGCTATAGGATACCTCAGCTCAGGGACGGTTTTTGTTACTGAGGTGGGGGTACAACAGAACACCCTGCCAACGTTAGTTTAACATTTCAGCGGTGTAGATGGAGAAGGTTGTGAAAGTAGCAGAAATGGTGAAACTGGATTTCTAAATTGCTTAGCTGTTTGTTGGGACACTGAGCAGGTAGAATGAAGTCCTGGTTTATCTCTGACTGATGTTCTGGTTTGCAGTCCCAGATGTAAGCCAGCTGTTAGATTTTGGCAAAACAGTTACATAACTGATTCAAGTCCTGCTGTCTTGAATCATTCCAGTCATACCTCGAACTTGGTTATAAGGATTTTATTTTGCTGTCAGTCATGAGTCAGTCTGCGAGTATCAAATCAAACTGTGGGGTCAAATTCAGGTGCACTCTCTCACAAAGTGACACATTAGAACTGTAATTTAAACATTTTTAAACCGTGAATTTTAACTCCAGACAGGTCCTTCACAGATTGATTATCCAACATAATTTCACATGATAAACAGGTAGGTGATGCAATATTTAATCATTGCAGCTTTTGTTTTTGCGGTTGGTATAAACCAGCCTCTTCCTTTTGGTGCAGAATTTGCTCAAAGACACATTATTCTATAAACATGTCTGTCTTGTATCATGTTGTTAAAGTTTGGTTGGATTGTTCTTACCTCACCAGCTGATCAATCTATAGAGTTAAACAAACTTCTGACTTATTATATATATATAATATTATAATCAAAATCGAGTTACCACGGGGATAGTTGCCGAGCTGTCTGCAAAAACAGATGAACTTTAAAGTCCTTAAATCTGAAAGAATTAAACCCTAAACCATATATAATAATAATAATAATAATAATAAATTATACTCGGACACATCGTCCGTAAACATATTCTCTACCTAAGGTCGGTTTCACCCGGTCGTCTTGACTACAGTGAATGTGGAGTTCATTTTTAACGGGGGTGGGGATGTGAAGTAGCAGAGAGAATCACTCCCATGATTCCCAGACAGCCTCGACGTCATCTTTTGTTATTGTTTTGATTGAGAGCCCCCTGGCGGCGTACATACTTAGCGTTTAAGGAATTGTAACAATTTTCATTTTTTTTTTGTTAAATTAAATAATAATAATAATCATATCCTTATTTAAAAATTAAGAAATTGCTCAACTAGTGCACATACATGTGTTTCTTATATTCAAAGTTGACAAATGTATTTCAGGTTTTCTCTGAGTTAGGAAGGAAAATGTGAGAAAGTGTTACAATTGCCCCCGGTCTCCCCTACTGCTGGCAGTGTCCTCAGTCATTAAATGTACAGAGTCCTCCACACTTGTAGCTTTTTGACGTATCCAGCGCATCACTATCGGGACTTAGCTCGGTAAAAGCTGCCAATTTGCAAACAAGAAGTATTATCTTCCCTATGGATCATACAGACCAGTGTGCCAGTTTTGTGCATGCTGAGTCTCTGTGTCCCTGAGTCATGAGCTGAGCGTCTCTCAAGCGTAGACAGTCTGCTGAAGCTGCTGGCGCAGAAGAACTAGGCCAGATTTTACACACTTCACAACCCATGCTAACCCTGACACACATTATTGCATCTCAAAGCAAGGAGGAATAATCCCAGCTACAATTGCATTACAGTTTCAGGCCACTCGGACATAAAATGTTGGTGTTTGACCCGACTAGTACCACGGCTAGACTGGAGGTTTTTTATCTAAAAAAGAGCTCATGTTTCGCCTTCCTAATAAAATCTTGCCGCTGCAAGAAGCATTCAAGACCAGAGTGAGTTTAAAACTTGAGGCGAAAAAGGGAATCAGATTTTCATTTGTTGCCCTAGAAATGAGCTTGTTGGGCTTTAGGGCTGTAAGGGCTTTAAAGCAAGACTCTTACCAAATGAACAAAGTAAACCCACAACTGGGTGTGTGAAGTGTTAACAGTTATATTTTGTGTTATTGTGGGTTTTTAAACTGCTAACAAAAGTTTTGCAACATTTCAGGGGATTTAGCAAACCTCCACATCAGTTTATCGACTCGTAATTAGGTCACAATAATGCTTGTCAGGATTTGCTTGTAGGCCAAAGTGTAAAGAGGGAGTCTTTCAGACCCCCGTGGTGTTTTTTAATGTGAGTGAAAAACCACATCAGCAGCATCAAAGCCTGAAGTTGTGGATCCCTGCCAGATTATCCTCCACTTTTCAAACTACTAAGCACTTTTAGCGAAGTCTTAAACACGTACACAATCTTGACTTTATCCTGAAAAATACAACTCTAGACGGCTCTAAACCGTCACTGTTACTGTAATATTAAGATCTGTACCAGCTGTTGTCTGTTTACTTCCAGGCGGACTGGGGAAGAAAAAGCAGAACCCAAAACATGACCATATGTCTAAACCTTGTCCTATGAACCCAAAACAGGATGTCACAGCAGGCCCTCCGGTCAGAGTAGCCGACAAAGACACAGACACACAGGAGGGCTATTGTTTTGTTCTGCTTTGGGAAAGAAAGAGAGCGAAAAGGAAGTGCGGTAGGGATACTGAAATTCAAATTGTCTGTGTTTATGTACGTATGTTGCTACTGGTTATGTGTCGTTCGAGACTTGAAGATTAGCTTGTAAACAACTAGCTTGCACATTTTTGTTCAGTGTCAGCAAATTAGAGCAAAGGGAATGAAAGAGTCCTTCATAAAAATAGAAATCACTTGTTTCTCTTTTGTTTATTTAAAGCCTTTATAGTCCTCTTCAGAGCAACGCTGGAGCTGCTCTTTGACGGAGATTAATGAAGCAACTTGTAGCCAGACAGCTCAGACATTTTCTTAATTACTATATCTGTAAGTTTAAAGGCCATTGGGATAACTTAAAGGAAGAGTCTGAGATGTTAGGAATTTAGCACCTTTTCTTTATTTCTTTAGGCCGATAGGACAGTCAAATATGTAGCTGCAGCCAATTTCGCAGTAAGCTTTAGTAAGGTGAGCTACCGACCCTTATCTAAGTAATAGAAAAATACATGAAATAATGACAACTTAATGCCATTATTTATTCCTTATTTGCACGACTTTGTTCCTGGATTCATGTTGACCCACAAAATGGTAATTTTTAAAATTATAAATAATTTTTAAACTTTTATGTTAGGATCAAAGAGGCTATGCTAACTTAACGGGCTGCAGGCCCTAGCTACATATTAACCTCAGAGATGCAAGACTAGTGTATGTCTGCAAAAAATAATTTAGCCTGTAGCAAAGCAGGACAGAAAATGGGAGAAACAGCTAGCTAGCTCATTAAAATATTTAGGTTTTATAAATCCTGTTAAGTTATTTCGTAAAACCCACAGAATTCTAAATGTTACAAGTTCTGATTTCAGGAATTGGATGTTTGTCCATTGGAAAGCTAATTGTTTGCCCTGTTTCTAGCCTTTATGCTATGCTAAGCTAACCTAGTGTCGAAAGCTTCATATTTAGGGGCATTTAGAGAGTGTGTACATTTTCCCACTAGATCTGCACAGAAGGTGTTTCCTGATTTCCCAAATTTGAACTCACCAAGTTCCTGTTCCAGAAATCAGTCAAAAAAAATGTATTGTTTGCTTAAGATTTGAAGACAATCTATCGGTGCATCTGGATAAAAATGCTGAGTCAGGTCTAAAAGGGCGAGGAGACAAAGGTGTCAGGGGAGTCTGCAGACAGGCGGAGGGTCTGCTCCGGCGTAGACATAGCAGCATCAGGCCACACAGAGGCCTCCTTGTCTATAAACACAACCTGCAACTCACTCAAGAGCGTACTATGCAGAGAATGCTAAAAGGATTAGCACATAGCCACTTGAGATAATGTGAAAAATGAGACGTGATGTGGTGGAGGAGGCAAGAAAGAGTCAAGGACGAGACGGCTTCACAACACAATCAGTGGACCATTAACCTCTAAGAAGATTAGGAAACACTCAGTCACTGCCTGCTCAGTATGTGTCTCTGCTGACTGCTCTTTCTCCTACTTTAATTATCCTCAAATTTTACTCATTTTATTTGAAACTTGAATGTTAGAAGAATTAATGTTTTTGCAGGAAATGTGTCCTTATTGCAATGTGTCCTTTACATTAATTGTAAAATTGAATTGAAGTACAAGAAGAAAACAAATAAACGACCTTCACACAAACATTTTTCTTTTTCGTGTTTATTTGCTGTGTACATCATACACAAACTTCTTTGGAATAAAAGATACATCTCCTTTCTCTATCAAATAAAAGAGACTGAATTTAATGGAGCTACTTTGTAAACATGCAACCAAAAGGTTAACAGGGAAGTAGAAAAACAAACATAAAAAGGTCCAGGTTGTAGGGCATTAAGGAGTGTGCCATACTGATGAAACAGATGACACAGATGACATACTATGATACAGAGAAAAGAAACAACTCCAGAAGCTTCGAGTTATTGTGTAAATTTATCACATTGTACACATATAACATGCCCTGAACGCCTCACAGTCTAACCTCTGCATTCCTAAGCAGACCTCCTCTTCATATTTCAGTGGCATCCTCCAGGCCGAGCAATGAAATGACCTTTCATGGAGATAAAAAGTGAGAATCACTGAAGGATGGATGGAGTGAGTAGGATCTCTGGTAATCAAGAGGGAGGATGGCTACTTGTTTTGATAGGAAACGGCTGACTGAGCCAGCTGGGAAGGTTAGACATCTGTTAACTGCCAGATAGTGAAAGGGACATCTGAAAAACACGGTTTGACAACTGGAGCTCCCTAAAATTTAGAGGAGAATATATTATTTAATACATTCTCTTCTCTCTGATTGTGTTAATCATTTGCTTTCAAAAGTCCAGTTTTGCCTTCACAGGATTCTTTTTCTGCTCATCAGCTTTGCTGCTTTTTAACTTTTAACAGCTGGGAGCAACTGAACACGCAGGAAACATTAGCTTTGTTAATCAATAACTGTGTCACAAGTGATTATTGGACCGTGTTTACGGCGTGAGAAATTACCCCCTTTAGTGTTTAGAAAATGAGATGATGGTAATGATGAAAATGACTAGCCAGGCATGGCTCCTTGTCTTGCATGATGCAGGTGCTCATTTGAATCCAGCTCAGTGTTTAATATTGAACGAGATGCGTCTCTGTAAAGAGTTAAAGCTATATCTTTATCTTTCCTCTCCTTCTATCCAGTTCAGTGCATTAACAACCCCACAGGGGCGTCTCGCATGTTTGTTCCAACGCCTGCGTTTAAGGAGTAAAAAAAAAAAAAAAAACACACACAAACTAAACTGGGACAGATCCGAATGAGGTACTCATGGTTCACTTCACACTCACACAACAGTTTTCCAGTCTAGAAAAAAAAACATAGCTTAGTGGTTTTCCATTTCAATTTAGTCATTAAGGGAAAGAGAAGGTGTTCAGGATACAAAACTGTGACTCTGTTGTGACAAACATACATGTGCCTCGTGAGGGGTCTCAGGGGCTGATTCCAGATCAGTGTTTATTCCAGTTCGATCAATAACTGAAAAAGCTACAAAGGGAGAGGACACTAAAGTTCACTCTTAACACAGCCACACAAACAGACAAGTACTAAAACACTTTGCAGGAAAAAATGGTTCCAGTCACCAGTTCGACCTGTCTTCACCCACACAATTCTTCCATAGGATCTATAAATACAATATATCAATTTGACAAGATAAACTGGTGGCAGTTGTTCTTTTAAAAAAAAAAAAAAACAGTCTCTTTGGAGTCAGGGGAAAACAAGGGAGTAAAGGTTTTCATGTGCTGTGGAATACTAACCCGTTGTGCAGGTATTAGAACCTGAAACAAACCCTTAGTCCATAGATACTCTAGGAGATTTCAAAGAAAAATCATATTTTGTCGCTGCTTTGCTTTCTGAAGCTCAGCTGTTTTGACTTGCATTGATGCTTTGGCTCAAAAATAGAACAGAGTCCTATTTTTTCTTTCTGTGATGCATTGTGGCATTGCTGTGAGCTAATCACAGCCCACTCTGAATTCAGTGGTGATTCAATGCCTTGACTTTTAGTTTGAAGTGCATTTCAGTAGCAAATTTCTGCACAGAGGGGGAAAGTCTCCAGAACTGAATGCTACAATAAGTAGTTTCACTGATTAGTTAAGGATATTCAGATCTACTGGTTTACTGTTTTACCAGAAAATAAACCTTCGAACTCTTGGCACTCCACAGCACATGGTCTCTAGTCCCTGTTTTAAACAGTAGACTCTTTGGGTCCCTCTTTAGCAGCGTTCTTGCACCCATAAAGCCACTTAATGACACGAGCATTCCTCTCAATTATCGACACACCAGTGGGAATCTGATCAGCCAGCTCCTCCTGAAACAATCCGTCTCCTGAGTGTCGGGAAAACTCGCTGGGCTCTGAGCCGCCGCAGCCATCCCCAACTACACTGCGGAGGGCCAACGACAGTGTGTCTATGGAGCTGGCACCAGATAGAAAGTTCTCTCGACCCAGGCGCTCTATCATGTCCATGTCCAGCCCGCAGTAGTCAAAAAAAATGTCCTGCTCTGAAAGTGCTACTGAGCAGCGAAGATGAAGATCTGACTTTGAGCGCTGCAGCTCCCAAACCGCCTTCTGGGTGCTGGTGGAGGTGATGCCCGCTTCCAGGGTCATTCTGATCATCGGGGGACTTGAGTGGTTGCCATTGGTGATACCGTTGTTGTCTCCTTCATTGGTACCATTTGTAACCCATTCTTTGTCAGTTCAAGCGCACAGCTAAACCCAGGGCTCGGGATGGACCCTGGGCTGCGTTCTTGGTCGGTTTTACTTGACCTTCTGCTTCCTAGTCCACCATCTGTAGTGTCTTTTTCGTTGGTCCAAGACATGCGAGATTCTCCATCTCGTGGTGGCGCTTTTTCCTCACCAATCACCATTTTCTGTATTCTTCCTTCACCTACGCTGCTCTTTTCCCTCATAGAGCCCTGGAAGAGGCGGCGTACAAAGCTATAACCCTTCACTTCTGAGTTATTGTTCTCTCCTTCTGGTGCACCACTTGGGCTCTTGCACTCTTTCTTCTGCCTGTACATGACTAGGGAGTCTGGCCTCAGCATGCGTTTGCCAGTAGATCTTCTGAGTACGGGAGCACTGTGTGGTGCTACCAAAATGTTTTTCCCAGGAGTCCTAGGGTTGGGAGGCAGTGCATGGTTCACATTGCTCCTGTTGTGTGCCTCGACGTCAACGGAAGTCCGTCTGTTCTCCTTTCTGGAGTCATCATTTTCATTTTCATCCCTTGAGTTGAAGGAGCCAGAGAGTGTGGAGAAAGCGGTGTTTGATGACCGTCGAGGGGGAAGATTAGGTGTCATGAAACCAGGGGTGGAAAAAGCTCGGCCGGGCTGTGGTGGAGGGGTGGCACAGGGCACCAGAACTGGCTCCTGTTTCGTATTGATCACCTGCTGGCTCTTAACATATTTGGCTTTGTCTGCCTCAAGCCTTTCTACAGCGCTGATTGAGCGTCCATTTCCTCCACCATCTATCTGCCTGCGCAGGTAGTCTGGACCCTTGTTGAGGAGCCTCAGGGGAGAGGGGGATCCAATTGGTGTTAGGGGCTTCATGTTGATTCACTGAGCTGAGAAAGACATCAAAACTGCAATCCCTAAATGACTGACAGGGAGTCCCTCAGGGATACGATGTGGGCCCAGTGAATTTCTAACATAAATTTCAAGAGAGACTTTTGAAAGTGTTGATAGCAGTTCTCAATTACGTTCTCACAGCTCTTGAATCTTCTTTAGAGTAATAGAGAGGTAGCAAAACACAGCAAAGTCAAAGTTTGGTGTAATGTTTTCTATAGTTAGCAGGGAGTCTCTTTGTTGGGTAGTGTTAGAGGCCAGACAAATGATATCTCTATCCAGTATTTATGCAGGCATTTGGATCGGCAGGCAGGGCACTGGGAAGTCCTTTTTTTGTCAGCCAAGATCACTCCCAAATGAGACGCTGCCTGCCCACAGCACAGCAGAAATAGCAGGCAGGGTGCACTTTGAAAGGGTTACTTTTTCCTCCCCCACTTTTTCTTCTTTCTTTCTGTCTCCCAACTACACCCTTCACTGTTGATCTTTTCAGTGACTGCAGCCTGGAAAAATAAGATTTAATGGCCTCAAATATTTGCTCTGTGCCGGCTGTCTGAGGTGAGTTTGTTTGGTGCCCGTCGTGGTTGAGGTGACTTGAGGGTGGCCGGCACCAAGGCACTTGGTTTGTTGACGGACAGATGGGGCAGAATTGAATCTTGTCCTTGTCCTCACATCACCTGCATGGATCCCTGGGAGAGAGAGAAAAAGAGAGTGGTTTTAGTTTGAGGGGTTATTCTCCAGGGCAAGCAGGAGAGGCCAGATGGCAGGAAGGACGGTGGTCTCTATGCTGAGCTTGGATTGTGCTTATATAAAACTGGAGGGAGTAAAATGCCAGAAGCACACAGAAATACAGAGTTGATGAATGAAGGCATTTGTAAACCTCTACCTTACCTATCAACAAAATACGCATAAACACATAGCATCATCTGACACTCATCACTAGGTCAACAGTCAATGAGAGAAATATAGAAGTTAAACCAAGGCTGACGTGAACATGCTTCTGCTGAATCAGGAAGATTTTGTTTGGAACAACCCTTAAGACAAAGTGTGTGGTAGAAGTCCTCTATAAATGGGAATACATATTTAAATGAATTTACGAGCACATGTGTTCATTTTTCCATGGAGGCATTTTGCTGGGTCATTTGTGACTGATTTGAAGATCTCTTCCTTCAGTTATTTAAGTCTATTTTCAGAATAGCTAAGGCCTTTTTATTTCCAAAGAATTACTGCACATCTTGTAAGAGTTGGATAAAAGTTGAATAGAGGCATTAATGTCTGTTGTGCAGGCGGATGACGTGACTGCTATTAGGATATTCCATGAAGTAAATTGTTTCAGATTGGTTTTAGAAGAAATCCATCTTATACAACATCCTGATTGATCATTCAGAAAAATTAGAAACAAAGAAATCGTAGATGATTATTTTTTGGTTTAAAATCATTTTATTTGACTTATTATTTTTTGTAGTGTTTTACTTGTAAAAGTACACTTTGTTGGCACTAAATCTTCTGCACTTTGCAGCTGTTGTATTAACATGGTAGTAGAAGCAATTGAAGAGGTGAAAATCTGTGAAGAGAAGTGATATTTTAAAGATCAGTGAAGCTAAATGCTAACTCTCTTCCTTCTAGTTTTCTTTACTGACTGATGTTTCAACTTACAGGGCTGCTTTAAATGAACAAATACACTTCTGAAGTAATAACTTTTTCACAGTCACAGTTTAAACAGCTCATTTTTCAAATTAACAAGCCCCTTAAAAAGTTAAATGACACTGAAAACCAAACATAGTGCATGACTGTGAAACTGAAAACCACTGTTTGTATTTATGGTGTGTTTTGTGGAAAGAGAAATGTTTCATGTCTTTTATGTTTCATGCTATATGAGGGGTAAGTTGGGAAGGGGGGCTGCAGTACGACTCTATAATGGGATATTCTCTACCCGAGGAATATTTATAGCATGAACAAAAAAAAACGCCCGGTTATCATGTGTCTATATGTGCATGTGTGTGTCTATGTGCATGTGGTCATGAGTATACTTGTGTGTCTGATCTAGTTTTGTGTCTGCAATAAGCATATTTATGTGTGTTAGTGTCACATTCAAAGTTTGGCCTTGGATTATAAAGCTTATTTAAATGGCCGTAGAAAAGAGAGGTTTACAATGTGCAAACTGGGGAGACAACTAGTGCATCTTAGCATCATATAAATACCATAGACACAGGTGGAAGTTGTTTTTTCGTTTCACATCCCGACAAAACATATTTAGTATCCGTGTGTTGTGTTACACAGCAGCAGGGTGTTTAAGTGTTGTTCTTATTGTTCCCACAGGTCTCCCTAAAGTGTTATCTTGTGCTATTTTAACTTTTGCATCACGAGGCGTTAAAACAATGAACAGCCTTCTCAGGCAGGAAAAAGGATCCATGAGTCATCCTTAAAGACAGAACAAGTGACCACACTGACAGTAAAACACACGCCACCACTGCAACTCAGGGTTTCCCGTCTTACACTTGTAAAGCAACATTTGTAAGGTAGTGAATATTGATGTGACATGACAACACGCCCTTAAGCTCACTGTCAGAAAAAAAATAATTCAAAATGACTTGAAATAAGAAATTTGGAATATTGGTGTCTCAGTGTGTGAATTCACATTGCACACACTGAGACACCAATATTTTTTTTCACACACACACACACACACACACACACACACACACACACACACACACACACACACACAGCGCTGTCCAATTCCGTCTTTGTAATACGCAGTTTAGGGGCATTATATATTGCAGGTGAGACTTCCACAGGGGCGAAAATATCTGTAAGTGACATGAAGTAGCTAAACTCAACTCATCATTATATCAGCAAATAAGTAGCAGTAGATTAATGGACACATATTTTTAAATCAAGATGTAACCTCTCTCGCATTAGAAGGGTTGAATGTTTGCTTTAGCTTCAGTGTCTTTTAGTAGGCTTACAAAATAAGCTCCTTCGGTACAATATATGCTAAAAAAAAAAAGTTATGTTTCCTGATGTGTTCAGTATTACTTTTAAAATTACCCTCAAGTAAACCGTTTCTAAATATATCACATGTTTTGACTCACTAGAAGGTGGCATTTCACATGAACATCACCTTCTACCTTATTCAGTCTCACTCCCCTCACAGACACAAACCCCAGACTGTCAAATGGCACACCGCTATAAATTCACTGAGGAAGGGGGTTTAACAGCCAGCTAGCTTTTTTTTTTCTCTCCAGATGTCAGGCTGTCGGAGCTCGGGAAAGTCAGCCATTATTTAGGTAAGGTTCCAGAAAAAAGACTTGTAACAGGTGTGGAGCGGAGAGAAAGAAAGGGTTTTGTAGTTGGGCATGAAACGAGTAAAAATGGGTAGAAAATGAGGAGGAAGTAGGATCAGGGGTTACTGTGTGTGGCTGTCGGGGTTTGAGTATTTATTAGACACCTTTCTTCCGGAACAATCTGTTCCCCATCTGGGTTTAAATAGTAATGCTACTGAAGAAAGAAGGGGGATTATTGCCATAGGAGCCTAAACAAAGTCATTAATCCTGATGCTGGTTTACCAATAAGGGGGGGTGCAGGCACATATGGGAAGTAATATCAGGAATATAAGGGGCAATAAATGGAAACAGCAACATTTAATCCCCACAGGCCAGTCATAAGCTCCAAAGCAATGCAGACATTATCCTTAATTGTCCTATTTCTAAGGCTTTCCACTGCGTCTTCTATTTAGGTGTTTGTGCGTTCACTCATTCTGACATCACAAGCTTGAAGAAAACCAGCCGCTTTGAGAGGTTATCTCTTGCTCCAAGTGCTATCTCAGATCTCAGAAATCTGAGTCACAGCGCTAAATGCTGGTCATTTGGGATGAAACGCCTTCGTGAGAAATGGTGCAAAACCAAGAAAATGCCTGAGATATATATGGATTAAAAGTCTTATGCACATATATTATCATCAAGTGAAAAAAGAGTTAGCTGAGGGAGAGGACATTTGAATAATGAAAAGATTCACACACAGAGAGAGAGAGAATCAAAGACTCGGCTAGGCTTTTCTGGGGAACAATGGCCACCATTAAGGTCCATTTTCCCCATAATGAGCCAAATTAGTACCCAGCACCTTCTCCTCTGATCTCAGGGTTTGTGAAAAGCGTGAGAGGGCAGGAGAATCTTTCTCGCATTACAAGACGTCCTTCATCTCTCTCTGTAGGTTGTCATTACCTTTAAAACCATTTGCCTCTCTCTCATCTCCATAGAGAACACCCCCCTCTGCTTCCTAATTCTACCTTGAGTCTTTTATTCCCCTGCACCCTCCCGCCCCTCCTTCCCACTCGTCACCTCTCTACATCTTCTGTAAATGTCAGAGGGCGTCCTCACCCTCTCATTCCCCCCCCCACTCCATCACTCTCTTCCTGTCTCGCTCCAGCTCCGAGTGACTGCAATTTTTAAAAGCTTTTGCGAAGCTTGGGACTCAATACATTGTATTTGATTTTTAAAACAGTGAGAGTTGATTTTAGTCATCCAGTGACACTGTGTTTCAGCACTGACCTATATTTTCACATGGACCAGTGGTTCCCAACCTGGAGGGGTCACGATCCCCCAGAGGGTTGCATAAAAAAATCTGAGAGGGTCACAATATGATTAATAAAATATGACAGAAGAATGGGGAGGAAATCTGCTTTAAAAATCTGAAATGTTTTTCTGGTTTGAAGAAAAATAAAGGAGGATTTAATGCCCTCTTAAATCTAAATCAATTAAAGTTCAGAGAAATTAAAATCTCATTTTGTTCAAAGACTTTCAATGTATCCACCATAATAGGTTTTCATATTAAAGCTTTATCTTATGAAGGACACAGTTTCTGTCCAGATCAGCACTTCCATGCCATTTCTGAACTATCTCTGTCCATTAAACAAACCTACAAAATACCAATTTAAATGATCATCATTCACGTACAATGGACACAACAAAGAGCCCCTGGCCTCTATGAACGCAGCGATAGAAATATAAAATGCAAAATTAATGGCAGCTAGTTTGGACAACAAGGTCAGGAGAGCCTCGAAAATGAGTTAACCATTGTTGGTTAAAGCGGTTACGGTTTCATGACAGCCAATCTGAAAGTGAAGGACAATGTCTGCGTCATTATTTCCCCAAAGTCCGTAAGTATTTTTTAAATATTTTTTACAAAAGCCTCCATGTAAGTGGCTGCAAAGGCTGGAGTACAGAATGTGGATGCACTGTAAAAAAATGAAGCAGATGTTGCACGGTTAAATTAAAAAAGGAAAGTATAGCCTTCAGCAAACAATTATAAACGATCAAGGTAACCTGTTGTGTCTCAGTCCAACTTAATTTGTACTACACATCTCTACATGAGACCTTTTGTAGAAACGTATTGCAGACAATTCCATTGGTGGTGTTTGGCTGTTGCACATGACACTTCAAATGTGGGATAAAAGGAACAAATTAAGATCTAAATAGACAATAACAAAAATGGTAAAACCAGCAGAAATGTCAAAGAATCCTTCCTGACCCCTGTTGTGAGTGCATAAAGAGTGTTACTCATTGAGCATGTAAATGTCTCTTACAACTTAAAACTCTCTATTCTTTAATTAAACTTCCTTGTCCGTCTGTCTGCCCTCTCCCTTCCTTTCCTCCCCCGTGTCCTCTCTGTGAAGCGGATGGCCCAGTCT